TTTTCATATCTTAACCAACACTCATCATATTTTGTCTTTTTAGTAAGAACCATCCAAACTGGAGTGGCATAAAGCATTCTAAGATCTAAAGGCTAATTTAGCATTCATATATTAAACTTTACTTGCTAAAATTCAGTATTGGACAACCCATTCACGAATCCTTCTCTCTGGAACAGAAGCTTTCTTTTCCCAATAAATATAACCTGCTCTTAATCTCCATTGTTCCTAAAATTCATTCTTTAATTTTAGAGAATACAAACTAACATCAAACATCTATCAGGTTGGGGGTTTGTTTCTCCTATATCATTTGGAGATCATTAAATGGAGACACGGGATGCTCAAAGTCAAACTGTCTTACTCCTTCAGAATACATTCTTAGGGCAGGCCAGATAGCTCAGCGGACTACAGCACCTGCTTAGGCAGAGTGTAGCAGCTGGGTCTTGATTCCAAGCATTCCTACTGGTCCCGCCTCCCAGGGCTCACTGAGACAATGATTCAGACTGAGCATTGTGGAACAAGCCTGTAATCCCAGCACTTGGGAAGCTGAAAACAGGAGAATCACTACAAGTCCAAGCTACATAGTGAAACCCTATTTACCCCTGCCCTAAATTCATTTTTTAAATGCTTTTTTTTTTTATTTTTTGTACAGGGTCTTGCTACGCAACTCAGATTTATAGTTATCCTCTTGTCTCAGCCTCTCCAGAGCCTGGGATTACAGGCATACACCAAACCACACCTGCTTTTGGTGGCCAGTTTAGCATCAGGCCGAGTATAGCATGTAGACAGGGGATTAAACCCGGGTCCTTGCACTTGCCAGGCAGGCACTTAAACAAACTAGGGAGCTGTCTCCCCCAACCCCTACTGTAGAATGCATTCTCAACCACTGAAAGATATTTTATTCTTACATGTAGAAAAAGAGACATTCAATATTTTTCTGCATGTGCAAGTGGCCTACCTATCCTCTAGAGCCAAAATGGAATGTAAATTATTAATTATGATGTTCTTTTACAACTAAAATTAAACTGTATTAAAAGAAAAACTGGTCAGAATTACCTTATGTTCAAATTTCCTTTACACTAAGAAATAATTCTTATTTATGCTCAAAGTATAATTATGATCCCTATAAGACTACGCACATTTGTTCATCTCTTTTTCTCAGTGATTTAAAGCAGATGAAGCTAGATCTAGGAAAATTTTCTGATGACCCTGACAAGTACATTGATGCCTTTAGAGGATTTACTCAGATCTCTAAACTAGGCTGGAAAGATATGCTAATCTTAAATCAAACATTGACTCCTAATGAGAGAAAAGCAGCATTAAAAGCTGCTATTATATTTGGGAATAAATAGCCTACTGTTAATTTTAAGCAGCCAAAAGATAGACAGCCAGGGGAACTACAACTCCCACTTGAGCCCAAGCAGTCTCTACCCAAGATCATGACTGGTTTAAAAGCCAGATGGGAGATTGGAGAAGGAGGCATTTGCACATGTGTATTTATATTCTTTTTTTAAAATAATTTTGAGGAACAAATAGTAATGAGGCAGTTTAAAAACCAATTAGTAGGGCAGTTTCAACAATAAATACATTGCATTGTTGTCTCAGTGCTTTTTCATTATATAAGATGAAGATATAATATCCTGTCCACAAATACTATTAGAACAAATCTTTTTATTCATTGAATTAAGAGAATGTACCTGTATATCTATCCTACCTATCTTGAATATACAGATACAAAATGGTCATTTATTTATATCCCCTTTTTTTTAGTTTTGTCAGAGAAGGGTATTCCATTGTCATTTAAATATTTTAGGTGCATGAATTCAGCAAAATATTCCAATATAGTCCAGCAGTCCATAATAGTAGCAGGTTGTCTGAGGGACTGGCAATGTCACAGGTTGTTGACTCAAGCCTTTTACAGCTTAGCCTATTAATATGGATTTACTTTTTTACCTCATTTTTATACTTTTCTGCTGGATGGATAAGACTAAGATAAAGCAAGACCTATATAACAAGAAATGTAATTTTTGTATCTGATAGGGTCAGTCAAGTCCCCTCAGGATTTATTCTGAAGCTCTGTACTGCAGTTTGCAGATCCTTTGTCAATGTCAGCCATGTGGGTGAGTCAAGGCCATTACTTGACCAATGTGCTCTCTGTGAAAGCCTGAGAGAATGTCTTCTCTGTATGTGACTCTCCTTAGGCACACTCTACATCATTGATCACATTCCTCTGGGGCCCTATAATCTCCTTGATCAGAAAATTTGGTACACAACTGAGTTACATGATGATACAGTATAGGTTCTCTTATGTCCTGAGTCTTCACTGACCTTGAAAGACTAAAGAAAGATAAACTTGAAGTCTTTATATTGAAGTGATGCCACTTGAAGATATACTCATAAGTGAAATAAACCAGACCCATATGTGTAAATATTGCATAATCTCCCTAGTATAAGAACTCAAAAGAAGAAATACAAATAGAAAGGTATAACACAATTAAAAGGAAAGTG